AAGGACATAGCTGTGTATGTGTCCAAGTGTTTGATTTGCCAGAAGGTGAAGATAGAACACCAGAAGCCGTCTGATAAGCTTCAACCTCTAGAGATTCCGGAATAGAAATGGGAGAGCATTTCTATGGACTTCGTGGTGGGTTTGCCGAAGACTCTAGTTGGCTGCCACTCTATCTGGGTCATTGTGGACAGACTGACGAAGTCTACCCATTTTCTTCTAGTGAAAGTGAGCTTCACTACTGAGCAGTTGGCCAGACTATATGTTCGCGAGATTGTGAGGCTTCACAGGGTGCCCGAGAGTATCATCAGTGATATGGAGCCGAAGTTCACATCTCGGTTCTGGGAGGCGTTGTAGGAAGCTTTCAGTACACAGTTGAGGTTGAGTACCGCCTATTACCCTTAGAATGACGGACAGACTGAGCGGACCATCCAGACCTTGGAGGACATGTTGATGGCTTGCACTTTGGAGCAGGGTTCAGCATGGGATAGGTACCTACCATTGGTGGAGTTTTCGCATAACAACAGTTTTCATGCTAGCCTGGGCATAGCACCCTACGAGGCGTTGTATGGTAGGAGGTGTCGGACTCCTTACCTGCTGCTCTGAGGTTGGAGATAAGGAGTTTTTTGGCTTGGACTTCGTCCAAGATACCACCCAGCAGATCCAGATGATCAGAGAAAAGCTGAAACAAGCGCAGAATCGCCAGAAGAACTACTACGATGTCAAGAATCGTCCACTGAAGTTTAGTGAGGGTGAGCACGTGTTTGTGAGACTATCAGCTGTCACCGGTGTTGGCCGGACCCTCAGAGTGAGGAAGTTAAGCCCGAGATTCATTGGGCCCTACTAGATCTTTGGTAGAGTAGGACTTGTTGCCTACCGGCTTGCCTTGCCTCCGAACTTGGCCAACATCCACGACGTGTTTCACGTGTCTCAGCTTCGGAAGTACATAGCAGATCCTTCGCACGTGGTGCAACCGGATGAAGTGGAAGTTCGGGAGAAGTTGAAAACTCTCGTTAGACAACTCAAGATTCTCGATCGTGGCGAGAAGTAGCTGAGGAGCAAGATCATTCCGATGGTCAAAGTTTAGTGGACAGGAAGAACTCCTGAGGAGTGTACTTGGGAGCGAGAGGACGAGCTTGTCTGGCAGTATCCCGACTTCCGAGACAGGTACATTCTGATTTTGAGGACAAAATCTTAAAAAGGTGGGGTGAATGTAAGAACCCGCACCGTTAATTAAGGAAATTAATTAATTAATTATGAGAAATTAGGAAATAATTCCATAATTGACCCTAATAATTATTATAAGGCTTAAATAATTGTGGTAAGAGTTTGATAATGTTGAAAGTCGCTTTTCTGACGAAAAGTGTAGATACCGGTTCCGCTCCTCGGTATAAATGTGTACCAATGAAGTACCCAGAAAATTATAATAAGTGCATGAATATTCCTAAAATAATATATAGGACTATGATTTCAATTTTCAAGTTAAAATAATGAGAACGGGTGCCAGAACTGATACTGGCTATGTAAAAGCGCGTACCAGAAAGGTGCTGCGAAAAATAAAATAAAAATATGATAAATCTTAGAAAAATGAGTAGGTTCAGAATCCTAAGTTTTGGATTAAAATGCTAAGCGTAGCTATTATTGCTATTACTGTGTGTTTAATACTTAAAACACTATAAATATTGTTATAAAAAAAAAACACTATAAATACAACTTTTGCACTAAACCCTAGGCATTTCCTTATTTTTCTACATGGCTTTGGTGGCTGACCAGCTTTTCTTTACACTGTTCCATTGTCTCTTCTCTATTTCTTGAGCCAAGAGGGCAATTCTTTCATGAAATCTTCACCTAAACACTTGGTGTGAGTGAGAGTGAGCATTGGGAGTGTGTTAGTGGTTTGTTTCTGAGTGTTGGCCACTGTTGTGAGGGAGTCTAAGGGCTGAGTGCATTCACCTTGTTGAGGGATCCATGACCTTAGCTTTTTGATCTTGAAGGAGTCATCTTGGGTGAGAAAGAAACTACCTTTGATTACCATTTTCGTGGCTTGGCAAAGTCAGAGCTTTGGGAGCTTCAAGTGAGCTCTAAGAGCATCATCCATTTCTGTTTTGAAGCATTGGGTATGTTCTTGAACCTTTGATCATGAGTTTTATGGTTAAAGCTTGAGTCTTGGCATGTAATATGTTAAAATAAGGTAACCAACATGAACATGAATCTGAAAGTCTATAAAAAGTGCATGCTTTAACGTTGGAATGGGTTAAAAACCCAACCTTTGGAGTGATATCTCGCGAAATGCAGAAACTGCATTCTGTCACGAAATATTCGGATATGATATCCGGATCTTGATATCCGGATATGCGGTCTTGTGATATCCGGATATGATATCCGGATATAGGATATCCGGATATGTCCCCGACAAATATCCGGATATTCTGGATTTTCGTAGAACAGCAGTTGTACTGTTCATACAGAAGGCTGTTATGGGTTTGTGGACCCTAGATTGATGACACTGTGGGTTGGTGCAAGTGGTGTCTTGCACTAGTATGGGTAATAGATGTATTCCTGCAATATTTCTCTGGCCAGTAGATTAGTTATAACACACATGACATGATTATCTGCTGCATTGCACTGTTTTGGAACTTATATTGTTAAACTGTTTTTGAACTTATATTGCACATGTAAGTGAGCTTGGGGTGGAAGATCCTTGAAGACCCCTTGCCTTACTGAGATTTCTGTTTAGAGATCTCACCCCACGTTTGGGGCGCTTATTTCAGGTTCAGGTAACTCAGGGGCTGAGACCTCTAGCGGCAGCAGGCCGGAGCTTAGTTGATTGTCATATTTGCTGATTATGCTGATGCACCTGCTTATTGTTTATGCTTTTCCATTATCATGTTGTTTGTATTGAGACTTGTTGAGTATGATCGTTGTTTATTTGGTGAGCATGAGGATTGTCCATGCCACATTGATTTGTCGATGTTATGTCTATTCAAGTTGTATAATTGTATCAGGATTATGTCCGGATTACGTGTCGTAGATCCGTGACTTAGATACTCACTATCTTATTTATGAGATATTTCAGTTAGCTATCTTTTGCAATTTACATACAGGCGATGTTTTTATGAAAATGGTTAAGTAATCAACTTGGCTAAGTATAATGACAAGAAAAAGATATTCCGCATTTTTAATTAAGCGTGACTTAATACGATGACATGTTAACAAACCGGGTATACACGGGGTGTTACAATAACAGTCAGAGAGAGAGTGTACCTTTAGGGTTTACCTTATATTTATGGAGGATACCTGTGGGTAGCGTGGATGGGCCTTTGGTGCCTCTGATAGGGGCACAGGTCTGCTTGCTATGCTGTCGTATTAGGATTAGTATCCTTGATGGATATCTATCCATGATTATTACTGATTGAAATCTTGGATTGTCTCTCGTTGGGCCTATCACTTAATGGGGCCCATAACAGGGTGTGTTAGAGATATATAAAACCATTAATGTAATATCACCCAACAATTTAAATTTTTGGGTTGAATTGATCCTTTAAAGTATATTTGGGAGTAATTTACATTTTTTTTTGTAAAGGAGTAATTTACATTCATACCGAATAAAACAGGGAAATGAAAATTTCACTATATTTTCATGCCCGTCTTCTTTTCCTTTCCTCAAAATTCATTGAATTTGATTTTTCTCTCCCAAAAGGCGCCTTAGTTCAAATGACACAAAAGTCTGCTTGGGTCCATATTAATAATTATCCTACTCAACTTGCTCTTTGCATCACTTCAGCATATACCATTCCTATCCCTCCTTACCTACTTTTTTATATATTTAAAAAAATTAAGAAGGACCAACCCATAACAGGTTGATTAATTTTATGAGTCAAGCTGACAGACACATTTTCACAATCTTATTGAACAAAGATTTATTTTAACTAACATAAGATAAAATAAATAAAATTTACAAAGTTTGTTCTCAGTGATAATATATATTCTAAAAAAAACACATAATGTAATATTACACTTATTTGTTATAGTTTTTTTTTAATCTGTTTATTTATTTTTTAATCCTAATAAGTTTCGGTATTGGCTTTCACGCGACTAAGTTATTTGCGACACTCTACCGAGCGTCTTTTGTGTGCTTCTGGATTTACTTATGTTTGAAAGTGCTTGAATGGCTCTTTTGATACTGCATTTTATGTTTGGCCAACTACATGTATTCAGTTCATTCTGATTAATGTCATAAAAATAAGAAAATATGTATATGCTTAAGTCACGTACGTACAGTTCACTTGGTTGTCTATCATTGACACATGTAAGATGTAATATATATATATATATATATAAAAGCTCAAAATTATTATTTTACACTTTTTATCTTGACTATTCATTCTATTTATAACTATCTGCTCTAATTTATTAGATATGTGGGCAGTTAGTGTGAACAGATCAATGGTCAAGTTTGAGTGTAAGACTTTTTATTTATATACCGGTATAAAAATAAATTGTCCCATATATATATATATATATATATATATATATATATATATATATATTCAAATTATAATAAAATTTTCATATAGCACAAAAAAAAACAGTTTTTCAGTTTCTCTTCTACATATAATTTCCTTTCGAGTACAAGTTAAAAAAATTAAAAACATTTTAATTTGCTTTCTATTTTTGTATGAGAAGAGATTCTTGATCCATCGCCAAATAAAGAAAACAGGCGAGATGATTTGTATAAAAAAAAATCTTTTATTTATTTATCTAAAAATAGAGCAAATCCTAACATTTTGAATGGTACATTGATGACATCTTAACACGACCTAAATTGATGACTTTCACATAAACCCTATTGACCCAAAGCAATAAATAAAGCCATGACCATGCCACATGCATGGATTGGCATATGGAAGCATAAAGGACATTATTGTACGTACAAATGCTGCTGGACTACCGCAGTTTTATGACCTATGAGAAATCGCTTAATTATATAACTAATTTAGCCTTCAATTTTTGTGTTGGTAAGGATGGCCAACACCAGGACTATTACCCGGTTCTGTAGGTCTGAAATCATTTATCCCTTCAGTCATAGAAACTTCAACATCTGGACTCTTAACTACCACCACTGCTTTCATATTATTATCTTCTCCTGCAAAATTTCGGTGACCAACACCAGGACTGCTTCCAGGTGTTGTGGGTCTGAAAGCATTGGTGTCTGAACCTGAATCTCCATAACTTGCAGCGCCATACTTTGGTAACATTGGCGACTCAACTTTATTCTCTGACGATGGAGTAGGAACATTAACACTTGTTTTAAGTGGTGGCAGGGTAGGCTGGGCATTATCCTCCAGCAGCATCATAGTGTTTGTATGCAATGGCTTTATCTTCCTTGCATGAGTTAGAAGGGAACCATGGAAGGTAACTAGCACGAGAAAAACAGCAAAATATTTGTGCATGGCTTGAAATTTAACCATGATCAGTAGAGATGAAAAGTGATTGGCTTTTGTATAAGTAAAGATAGTGACTTATCTATAGAATATTTTAGCTAGCTAGCTGAGATGATAGAAGTAAAATGTGATGGGAGATGATATGAAAAGTTTTGGGATGCTAAGCTATTTATAGTAATCTTGTTGAGTATGTCAATGCCCCTTAGTATATTTTTTTAATTTTTTAGTACGTTGTCCTCCTAATATTCTAACTGCTAATTATGTCATCTGAATTGACTAAATATGTGGAGTGCATGCTCTAACAAATTTAGTCCGTTGATGTGTCAAATAGTTTTTAATTCCATGGGTCTCGCTCTCTCAGGCGGTCTATCATGTCCTTTTGTGTATTAAAAGAATATCGGGGTCATAATCTTTTCTAAATTATTTGTACTTCACTTTGATATATGTATCTTTTGATATGCATCTTCTTAAAATGCATATCTTTTTTATTTATTTTTGTTTGATCGTATTTAAGTATCGGATCTAAATTAGAACTACAGTCACTTTTTGTGCTCATATTTGCTCAAAATGTAATGGGCAGATATAAGAAGATGATTATACATATATGATATGAAAAGAAAAGTACCATCAAATAAGAAGTTATGTAAAAATTCAATCTACTATGTAGAAAACTTAAACTAAATATATGATTTGGTATATTAAGAATAAAATAAAAAACACTTGGGAGACCATGACATTCCTCATCCTCCCTTAGCTTTGCAGCCGTTGAATATGGAAGTTTGAAGCTTAATTGTTCTTGACTACTCTCTATATATTCATGCTATCTTTTTTTTTTTTCTAATACCAATCCACTATATATTACTCTAATTATCATTTGATCAAATTTTTCAGCAACTTTTTTCTCTCTCTTCAATCCACTTTTTACTGAAAAGTTTGATCCAATAGTGATAATAGTAATAGTGGATTGGTAATAAAAAAAAATTATAGTATGAATATCCTTTCTCTCAAAATAATTATTCTCGAAGATTTTTTCAATAAATAAAATTTATTAAATACCCTTTAATTAATTTAAGAAAATAAAAGTTTATATGACTAAATTATCCTTGTACTTCAGTTATACTCTCTCATTTCACTTAATAGAAATACTAAGAGACAAGGATTAGATTAGAAAAATAAAATTATGCTTTATTAACTGTCCAAAGTAACAAACAATTTAAAACGAATTAAAATTTTTACAAAGACAATTATTTTAAAATAGAAAGAATATATTTGTGAGCTTTATATTTTGAAGGTTCCGAGGGTGGCAATTGGCAAAGCCCTATAAATTTTTTTTGTTTTATTTTTTATTTTTCCCTTCTTTCGCTAACATGTACAATATGAAGGGTTATGATAAACAAATAAAGAATAGTTGGTTGACTTGCGCACCACCATCAAAATGGACCCCGCGGAAGGAAATGGGGATTCTCCTACCTTTTCTCCACTTAGAGATGCATAGTATTAATTATACTATTAAGTTAACGGTCTCTGTTCAATCTCAGAAATCTTTTTTACTTTGGTCGACAAGTTCAAGTGAAACACCTCGGTCGATGTGATCCTCTGTTGTATCTAATACATATTTTTGTTTTTGGGACGCTAACTTTCAAATGGGTAGCATGATTGCGCAGCCGCAGGCTCAAAGCTAAAGACGGAAATTAAAGATTCTCGTACATTTGTATTTATATTTGACCTGCATCATTCTCCAATATATATATGGGAAATATAAGAATCACGTTGTAGGAATGACACTGTTCATTCCTGCAACAAAGATCCGGCAACGTATCTTGAGGATATGGCGCCGTATCCTGATTTTGGTTTGACTTTTTTTTTAAGCGTGATACCCACACTTGATTTGTGTGTGCAGGAAAATGGTCTATTACAAAAAGCGAACCCTATATATGTATATATATATATGGGGTTTGATTTTCTCATGTTAAATGAGAATTCAATTCTCAAGTTGTAGAGATAAAAAGCATGTAGGACCCATGTGTTAGAAAAAATTATATGTAGGACTCATGTCAGCACGAAAATCGAAGGATGTGTAAGGAAATTTAAATTCTCATGTTAAATGAGAATTATAAAACCCTATATATATATATATATATATATATATATATATATATATATATATATATATATATATATATATATATATATATATATACACATGTGTGTGTGACCTGCATCAACAATTGGTATCCCTGCATTTATGGTCCATTTGATTGGGTATCAAAACCGACCAAGATTTGCCGCAAGTTGATACTTCAAGCCGCCATTTGGTATCATCGAATCACAAGTTGGTGAGTGTAACTAGAGAATGTCCTATTTTATTTTTATTTTTATATTGATCTAATAATTACTCTTTGAGGCAAGTTAATTGTGGGGTATTAACATAAAATTTATTTCTTTGAATCTATTATGAGATTAATCTGAATCCGAAATTTATTAACAATTAAAACTCATTGTTTATCTGTAAAAATATATTTAATATGAATCAAATCGAGACTCTCTCATTACCTACTCATCTTATATTGCCAACTGAAGTAAACAAGTAAAAAATGCCCTTTAGTTTACCCGTTTTGCACAACAAAGTCAAAAAAATTTAAAACCTAGAAAAATGTATTTTCATTTAATTAAATAAATAAATGAAAAAATATACTTATTGTCTAAGCAACAGCGGAGGTAGGAAATTTTATAAGTGGGATGAAGTATGTCTTTGACCAGAACAAATGTTATTATTATTATTATTAGTACTAATTAATTTTATTTTTTTTAAGTTATATAAATAATCGTGACTTAATTTTGTTTTACATTTTACATTGAGTTGCATGATACATGTTTTCACCGCTAATTAAGCCAAACATTTTGATAATTAATATCATTGAACTTAATTATATTTTAACAGCATTCAGTTTTAACATAGAGAAGCCAATTATTCGAGATTCGAGCCAAAAATATATAAACTAAAGAATCATTATAATCTTTATAAAATAATTGTTGTATGCTTGTGAGTAAAAAATTGTTCAGCTTTGCTAATTGACCATTTCGGTAAATGTTAAAGACTTATCATATTCGAAACCTAACTTGAATACAAAAACTTACGTGAAATTTATATTAATTATTTTATATATGTCTGACACAAGCAAATTTTTTTTATTATAATTAAAGCATAGACCCCAGCAAGAGCTTTTTTACATATTTAAACATGAATAATTTTTATGTCCATCAAGGCAAGAGCCTTTTTAGAATTGAAGCTAGCCTAGGTGCTGAAATTTTTTTATTTGAAAAAAGAAGTAGTGAGTATTGAATTTGTGACCACTTGGTTGCAAGCAAATATTCTATCCAACACAAAACTTTAGGTTGCATTGATTCTTTGTACGATAAGAGAGCATATATAGATATAAATGGATTAGACACTTATCAAGGATCTACGGCCCAATCTATATATATCAGGCTAATTTTGACCTATTAAATCTAGTAAAATAAAATGTTTTTAGAAAGCATGTTATAGATTTTCTTTTAACAAGGTTTAGTCTATAAGTTTACAGGCATACCTATATCATGTTATTTATTTTAAATAAATAAATAAAATAAATAGAAAAATATTTTTAAATAATAAAGTAATCTTTTTTTAATTATTTTTTAATTTCTGAATATATAATAGAGTTAAACAAGCTAACAGGCCTACATCAAACCTTTTATTTGTAAAATATAATTCATGCCAAATTTATAATTTAGCCTACACTTGGCTAACAGACCAGCTAAGACTTAAAATATTTTACATAGCGTAACCTATTTAAGTCAAAATTTGGCCCGTCTTAACCCATCTACACCTCTAAGTGTATGTGATCAAGTGATCTCAAGTTTAATCTCAAGTTTGATCTCAAGTTTAATCATCACTGGGGCTGTTTAATAAAAAAAATATTTTAGTACCCATTATTCAATTCTAAAAAATGGCTCTTTGCGTGTTAGACCGGTATAAATTATCCATGTTTCAATTCCTAAAAGGATCCTTGATGTGATAGGTCTATGTACATTGTCCATACTTCAATTCTATAAAACTCATAAAGTGTATTAAAGTATTATAGTATAAAATTAGAGGTATGTTTATCTCATTTTACATGAGATAAATAATTTTTCTACACACACAGAAAGGGATTGGGTCTCACCACTCTTTTTTCTCTCTCATCTTATTTATGGTCTCACTTATTCTTTTATTTCTACAACAGGAGATAATTTTTTTCTTACAACATAAGAAAAATATATCCCATAAAATTAATACAAATTTCTTCACCAAACATTTTAAACTTTGAATTGAATTAACATTTCATATTTTTTAAAGTCAAATTTTGAGAAACTAAGGAACTCCACCACTATGCTTCATATCTATGGTATATAATATGATCATTATACGTATGGTTTGATTTTATAAACTTTTTTGTTTTATAAGATTTATGAGGCGTAAGTATGTATCTTATCATTCGAAGCACTTATGAGAAGAATTAAAATATTGTCGAAAAATTAATAAATCATAAGTAACCAAATCAGTGCTTGCATCATCTATGAGTGTGCCTTGATTAATCAAATTAAGAAATCATGTCGAAGAGGGACAAACAAAAGTCAAGTCAAAAGCAGCATGGCCGCACAGTCCCTACCACTTGAATTTGTCACCAGCCTGACATTCTTGTAATCAATAATCCATTAAACAATCCAAGGATGAATGAAGCATGCAAACAAAGTTGGGGTGGAAATGGAGAATCTTCCAAAAGATTGGCTCCAGGGATTGGGGAACCCTCACTTCTGTACGTCTTCACAAAATCAATTAGTCAATTAATTAAAGTACGGAGAACTTCGATGACATAAATAAATATAATATAAATTAAAGAGATCAATTGGTCTAATTTATTAAGCCTCAACTTTAGGTTTTTCATTTGAAAAATCAAAAGCAGCAAAGCGCAATACGGTAGTTGCCTGAGGTGCCTAGACTTTAA